TCCTTCCCGGGCCGGCTTCACTAATTGTCCCGATGATCCTGCCTCAAGGCTACCGTTTCATGAGCGCTGATCGAATACGAATAACAATAAAGAAATGCGTGAGTTGCGGAAATTTGGCGTCTCACAATGTTAGTCGTTCTGAAGTCGAGTCAATTTCTTCGGTGCAAGCCACCATGATTTGAAAAGAACTTATTTCAATTCTAAATGTGATATATCTTGATTTTTTTGTTATTATCTTGAAATTACATTTGACGAAATATTTCCCTTGGCATCAACAAATCGGAAGCCAAAGTCTATTTTGGTGGGAAAATGTTTGCCCTGAAATTTTAAAAATCAAATTCCAGCATTTGGGATTTAAACACCTCATCTGATGATGCTATTTTTTCTTTTAGAACTATCTATAGGCACAGTTTTCCGAGACGGTCACTGCATTGAAAGTTGAATATTTTTCAGTATATTTTATGGAGAATGCTAAACCTTTTTTTTCACTTCAATCCTACAGTTTCAATGTGGAGTTGCGAAATACCTGGGATTTCAGTCGCTTCATTCCTTGTCAAATCACTTCCCTGCTTATTGCAGCTGGAATTCAAATTTACTGGAAATAAGAACATTAATTTTACTACAGGAAAATCGTGGGATGACATTATACGAATTTCCGTTGAATCTGAACGAATAGTTCCATAAGAAAAAGTATCCTCTGCAGGAGTTCCTCATGCAACATGATATTTACGGCGAGGACATTTGATGTACGTAAACTTTTTATAAGAAAGATATCTAATCAAGACCTTATGTAAGCGTGTGTAAATTAAATTGTTCATCTCATTTTTTCGTCTCCGACGTTGGTCCTTTAATTGCTCTGATGAATTTAAATTCCAAGTAAGAGTCGTATCCATGTTAGGACGCCATGTTGCAGTTCGTGACGTGGATGTCGTCGGGAATCGTGTGGCAATTTCCAGGATAAAGCACTTCTTTTTTTCTCTCGCTCCGAAGAATATAAAGCATTACTTCGACAGAGGAAGCCATCGCGAAGGGAAGGGAAACGATCTTCGTGACGACGACGTTGTCGAGTCGAATTCGTATCTGTGTTCGCATCGGTCGTTGTTCACTTAATGAGCGAGTCACTTCTCATGTTTGCGCGCGGGGGTGACGATTAGTGCAGGAATTCCGGCGTGTTTCTTCGGCACCTTTCGGATGTGAGAGCATTCTTCATTGGAAGAAACCCTCGCCCAATCCCGACGCGAGGAAAGCCAGAAAAGGTTTTCTCTTTAATTATGAATATTTTTAGCTTTGCGCAATTGTTTGGCGAGAGATGGACTCTTTCACGTTCATCAGTTCGTTGTCCCAACTATTTCAATGTACTGGAAGACGAAAGTTGTGTCTTTAGAGTATAATGAAGTTTTTCGATAGTTTCGGAAAGGAAATGCCTGAAACAGAAGCGGTTAATATTAAAGAAAGGCCTATAGACCGACTTGAGGCAAGTCTCGGTTCATTAGCCAAGGATTTCCATTCATCAAAGTCCCGATTTCGTCGATTATTGGCCTTTTGCATTCACTGCCTTTTCCAGGAATTACATTATGCCAGGCATCCTGACTAAAAAAAATTACTTTCAATTCTTTGAAATAGTTTGTAGCATTGGCGGTCAGGAAATGATAGAATATTTCTCCGTAAAAAATGACATCCGCTTCTATGAATTCAAACAATTTTGAGCGAAGAAAAAGCAAGAATGAAAAACTTCCGAAGCAACATCCGTATTCTGCAAAACTTTCTGCAAGTTATTTCCAAGAATAACTGACGAAAGCTCGTTGACTTCGCGATGCGTCACTATGAAATTTTTTTTAGCTCCTCGGAAAAATGTATTTCAAGGCGCTAATCAAAATTGTTGAACCATTCGTCAAGAAGATTAATGAGTTTTCAGGATGAGTTTTATTCAAAACAAATCCGTCAGATTCGTTGTTGCGGGTTTCCAAACAGTGTTTCAGTTGCAGAGCACGGAAAAAAATAATGGCGCGGGAAATTATGCGTAATAAAACGTCAAGCGGGGTTTAAGACCTCGTAAATCTCACGATCGCCCGCCTTTTATCGCCATAGGGACATGATTATCGCTGCCCTGGGGTTTTCATAACTTCGTCCACGACCCGGTCATCCTTTGGAAGAGCGTCTAAAATCGTTCCCCTCTTTTTTCTTTTTTTTTTCTTTTTTTGCGCGCCACTTCAGACATCTTTTTGATTACAAGTTTGGCTTCTGCGTCGCGAATGGAACTCTGTTGTCCTGCACGTCAGTCAAACAAACACGCATTATGCAAATACCTCGACACTTTGCTTCTCCTCTACCATACGTGTTCCTCTTGAAATCTGTCAGAATTATCTGGGGCAATGTATTTTGGTCCTCGTTTACAGATTGGCGCATTTTCTGGGCATTAATCGGTTCCCGGCAAGGAACCCGGTCTTATGCTGCGCGACGAATGACAGTTTTTAAATCTAAAATTGTATCGTTCTTCTTGAGGGATTTAGTACGCTCAAGTCTCATTTTCAGACAACAAACAAAACTATATTCACAAATTAGAATTCAATTTTTTGCCCTGAACGTTTTGGATAGGGAAAATTATATTTCATTTTTATAATTAAGAGCGGAGACTACCGCTGATCATTGGCAAAATATTTTCACTGAGAGTGGCAGAATTAAGTGGAAGATAAATTTAAAAACACTTAGTGATATTATCAGTGGAAATAAGGATTGTGCTGTTGAAAAAGTCTCATTTCTTATTGAGGTTACCATTTTTTATTCATGGCAGCAAAAATTGAATCTAATAATTTTTAATGGGATAGCATGTCAATAAATTTTAGTAAAAATGCAGCTCTGCCCCAAACTGCATAAAAAACTATTTCTCGTGTTGCTTCCAGTATCGATAATTGATATATTGACTTTTAAAAGAATTCTATTTCTTATGTCATAACATTTTTGATTCTAATAAAATACCGTAACCATACTTATCCTCGTAAAACTAAATACTGTATAGGTGTCTGAAGTTGGTGCTATAGGGCTCAATCAACCCGAGAGGTTTTATTTAGAGGGAAATACTGGCGGGCAAATTAGGTCGATTAAAAGGAGGGTTGTGAACAAGCCTCGTCATTTCGTTGAAGGAGAATCGGGTTTCACGTCGTCTTGTCAGCATTTATTTTTTATTTAATATTTTTATTACCGCGTTGGTTTGCGGTCTAATGCCTGGGTACATCTGACGAGGGATTCCTAAAAAGGGAAGTTCGAATGCAGTCGGGTGACTGATGAGCGATAACGATGTCCTTATGTGAGGCTTGAAATTGAGGATTGTGTCGAACGCGGATGTCGGAGGTGTTCGAAGGACGCATTTTCTTGGCGTTTCTCGTCGTGTATCAGTCGCAACGGATCTTTGTCTGTGCTTGGTGTCGGCGTGGGTAATCTCAAGCTGACATCGACTACACGTACTCCCGAGGCCGAATCGCCTGCCTTTCTGGTAACGAGCGCCGAGGGTTTTGAGTTATAAAAAGAAGAAGAAGCAGAAGAAGAAAAAAAGTCGAAACCCGGCGATCCCGTGGAGGCTCTTGCGTATCTTTCGTCTGCCCGAGGACAGCCTTGAAATACTTCCTTCCTCGGCATCGTGGACACATGCATTTGCTTCGGATCATCTTTGTTTATTCCTTGAAGGAGCCCACTTAATTCGAGATTCGTGCTCTGGAAATTTCCAGCCCGCCTCCGAACTGAAATGTTAAACTCAGGTCAGGACAGGGCTGGAGTGATGCTCTATAGGTCGTTTGCCTGTCTGCAAATGGCGGTATATGTCAACGCATCGTGCACAAATTTGGCCTCGGGTCAGCGATGTTTATTTCTGAAAAAGGAAAAAAAAATCGGTGTAATTTCGAAGCCATATAGAGTGAGACTTCTTTGGGACCGAAGCAGTTCATTATTAAAGAATTCCAGAGCCATACGCTCTTCACCTAACACGACATTTTAAGTGGTGATTTTCTCCAGATCAACATTTTTTTTTCGTTGTCCCATCATACCAGCTTATTTATGTGAAGTCCTGTGCAATCATTTCTTCTGTAAGATAAGTTTCTTTAAAGATAATTATTAGTTCCTCGTATATGTGAAGGCTCACATTTCCGGATAAAATCTTTACCCTCGAAAACTCCATCACACCTGCGAACAATGTTGAGCTGAAGACATTATTCCGACTTGTGGATGTTTGAGTGCGAAACATTACAAATTATTTCAAGCCGGATTTGCGTGATGATATTCCGCATGGATATTTACTGGGGAAAAAGTTCACTCGAATTTTTGTTAGTCTGAACCCATCATTGATGCATTTTTTTTCTGACTGACACATGGAGCGAATATGTCTCTCCTAAATGTTTAAAAACCCCATTCAGTACGACATCCTATTCACCGTAATGCGATATACATACGAATAAATGAAGGGTTTGCTCGTGTCAACGTCGTGGGCGTAATTCAATAATCGGGTTAACGCCAGTCAGTTTATTTGCACAGCTGCATTATCAAAGTGTACAAGTATGATGTAAATTGAAGGGTTTTCCGTGTATGCAGTGAAACATGCACTCGAGCAATTCTTGTATCTAAGAGAAAGTTACAGTATATTAAAAACGAATAATGGTTCGGAAGGTTTCCATTCTTGCTCTTTGTTTGCTCAAAACTGTCTTTGATTGATGGAGTTACACGTAATATTTTACGGAGGAATATTGCATCTTTTTCTGATCATTGCTGCTGTCAATTTTTTATTGCTCCCGGTGCAAAAAGAGGATACACCTTCGACTTTTGCATTATTTATGCGTTTTAAGGCCAGCGTAAATGCAACGCGGTATTTCTTTGAGTTGGAAAACGTTCTCGGTCAGAATGTCTCACGTCTTATTTTTGTGAAAAATGATTTTGATGATGCGAGTTTTGCCCCTAGCACCGCATCTCGTTTCCAGCATTTCAATGCATCGAATGAAATCTTTTTAAGGGTTTTTATGTCGTTGAATGTGCATCACTTGGACGACCGACAATGTTCCGTTTTGCAAAGGACAGTGAATTTCTTCCAAATTAAGTTGAAGTTCCCATGTTTCAAGTACGCCAAAATAGGAATTTTTGCATAAGTTTAAATTCAAGTTCCCGAAGGCAAATTTAAAGTTTTTAAAGCTAGTTCATCGCGTGACAGAAATGAACTTTTCTTCGCATTGAGGATCCAGTTTGCATGATTTTAGGGGTTACTGTATTATCAGTATTGAAGGTGGCATAGAGATGGACAGTGTCCTTAGAAATGAACATAATACACTGCACCAACTCAGCACCCAGATCGTTTCTCGCCGAGCCCCTTTTGTCGCCTGGCTCCGTGTACATGTTTGTGACCCCTTCATGCAACCTATCTTCTATTTTTATTTTCATTTTATTTATTTTTTTGTTGTCTCCTTGTTGGGTGTTGCCCAGTGGCTGCTGTCAAGTCGTTTTCGCGTCGCGCCTTTCAATCTGACGCCGCTTATCTTCGTCCGTAAGACACGTCATTCGTAATGGATTACGAGTTAAGCTTCAGTTAAGAATTTCTTCCTTTTTTTTCGTTCATGTTCGGCTGATTCTTCACGGCGAGACTTGCCAGACTCACTTTTCTTCGTCGGATTTACGATGAACCCTCGGACCGTAGACGGTTTTTTACTGCTGGGAGACTGCTTTTATTCCGTTTCTTGGGACGAGCTTCGTGTCACCCGGAGTTTGAGTTTCCATTAAGAAAGTCTCCGGTTTCCCTTTTGGGTCTCGCCGGGATTCTGGGCTTACTTACGAGATGAACCAAAATCAAAGGAAGAATTCATCAACTGAGTAATGTAATACAGAACTTCTGCTTCGGCCAAGTATTCTTGGCTGGGTTTAGAATCATTTACAATTTACTGAACAGCTAACGAAGTTGTTTCACACCACTCTTCCACATTTTCAAAGTTTCGTTGGATAAAATAAAAAAAGGGATTCTTATGAATAAATGTTTGCTCCGTGCTGAAAAACAGAGGGTCCATGTTCGGGATCTTCTGAGGCTATTTTACATATGGACTCTCACTCTCTACACAAAGATCTTGTCTACAACGATATTTTCTGTTTAACGAATATTTCTTGGACCCATAGGGTTCTCCCCTCATGTTATATGAGGTTCTCTTCAGCGATTTTTTTTCTGCTCCCTTGAATTTCTTGGTGGAGAGAAAGAGTCCGCCTGTTTTGGCCTCCAACCAAAGATCGAAATTTCTCGATCGTATGTGTGCTGATTTTGTTTAATCGCTCGACAAATGGAAACGAATGATTGTCTTAATTATTATTATTTTTTATTTGTTGTTGTGTTTTACAGGCATGTAGCGAATTCACGACACACGTGATGAATTTGCTGCGTGAGCAGAGCCGAACTCGCCCGATCACACCAAAAGAGATCGAGCGAATGGTCCAGATAATCCACAAGAAGTTCCAGTCCATCCAAGTACAACTGAAGCAAAGCACATGTGAAGCCGTCATGATTCTGCGCTCGCGATTTCTCGACGCCAGGTTCGTCTCATTCCCTTTCTTCGAAGAAAAAAAAAATTGCTCGATATTTGCCAGTCCGCGTACGTTCAACAACAAAAAAATGTTTGACTGTTCAACTTGTTCGAAAAATAATCGAATTCGATTCTTGACCCGACCGAACGCAATTCATCCGGATAATTGATTTTCTGGATCAAATTCATTAATTAATCGTAAACTTGGGCGAAGAGAAATCGCTAAATTTTGCGGACAGGTGCAAGTTATTGGTCTTAAATGTATTCCAGGGAATATTTCAATGTTTCTCCAGTCTAATTTTCAAACTTGGGCGAAGAGAAATCGCTAAATTTTGCGGACAGGTGCAAGTTATTGGTCTTAAATGTATTCCAGGGAATATTTCAATGTTTCTCCAGTCTAATTTTCAAACACGTGTCCATTTGGAATCCTGAGAATGTGCTTCGTTGATCTAGCATTCAATCTGTGCGTTTCAGTACCAAACTCAAAAGAGAGGCTCCATTATGTAGACCAATGTGATGAGGTTTATCTCAACCGCTAAAATTGACATTTCTTTATAGTCTTAGCGAGATCTAAGTGAGTCAAATACCATTTCTGGATCAAATTCAGTTTTTAAAAAGCGCTCTATCACACCAAGGTATTCGTATTATTTCTCGGAAAGTTGAAGCTCAACTCCTCGCCTCCAAGCGGAAATTTCTTCCTGAAAAATTCGCGTGCTGCTTCGATGTAATTTTCGTAACACTCAAGATTCACTTGAAACTCTCAGAATGCGCAGATTGATCTGATTATCGATGAATGAAGCAAAAATTCGACGAAGAATGAACAGTACCGCGTTAAAGTAAGATGAGCGTTTAACTCAAGTGTGAGTAATTCGATTATCGTGGCGAAGAAATCCAAGTGTTTATTTTTCCGTCCCCGGTCTTGTTTCTCCTCTAGTTAAAAAATTGCGTTAAAAATACAGTATCATGATCAAAGATTTGAAATCATTCATTTATAATCGACAAATTTCCTCGCCTTTCGTTGAGTCTAAGCAATTACGGAATTCATGTCGAGCACTAAAAATGTAAATGTTGTGACCGCAAAATCCGTTTCTTTGCCGATTTTGTGTCTTGGTCATAGTCTTAGTCTTAGTCTTGGTCACGTTGCTCCTCGAGTAAATGATGGCATTCGATGTAAACCATGGCTCACTTGTATAAACTCAGGCATTCTTTTAATGAAGTACATCTTTTATTGGAGTATCCATTGTAGAACATTATGTCCAGCGTGTGAAGTTTGAGTTTCATGGCCACGAAATCAAATATCTTCCTGAACTTCGAGGAAACGATGGCGTTTATAGAAACAAAATCATGCATGGAATAAAGGGCATTATTTTAAATTTGAATTTTCGATAAATCAATTAGTTTAAATCCTTCATTTGAGTCTCGAGTGTTACACAATACCCGTTTCAAGCAGCAACGAACATTTGATTATCCTCGGCAACTTGATCCGAGTGTCTTCGTCGTATTGAAGGAGTTCTTCTTCGTCTCTCCTCCTTGTCTCCAGTCCATGTTACTCCTCAAAGGGGGGGGGGGGGGGGGAAGGATGGGGTGAAAAATACGTGGGGTGCGGGGGGGGGGGGGGGGGGGGGGGGGGGAAGGATGGCGTGAAAAATACGCAGGAAGAAGCCGGGGGTGTTCTGCGAACCAGGGGGGGAGTGGTTGGGATTTATGGTTCCGGTAAATCTCGGCGCCTTTGTGCGCTTCGGACGCTAAGGGGGTCTCTGGGATACACGCGAGCGTCGCCTTTCGGATGTGGTCCAGGAAATTGAATGCGACCGAGAGGATTTTTGCACTGCGTACATGAATGTAAACCTGGAGAAGGAAGAAGAAAACTCACTGACGGATCCCTTATCCGAATGCGGTGCCGGGTCGCAAAGCCTTCTTGCTTCCGTGATAGCCCGAGCGAAAGGGGGGGATGGCATTGTCGGAATTGAGCCCCGATTCTTCCCTTTCTGTACGTCAGCGAAAATTTCTCCCCATGGTTTCCATTCAAACAGGAAATTACTATGTGGATTATTGCTTCTTTGCACAGCATGTTCCACGAATTCCGTGTGTGTGTGTGTGTGTGAGAGAGTCTCTCGCTATGTGCAGGCAACTTGAGAGCTGAGACGGTTTTGGAAGTTTCCGCACCGCCTGCGGGAATCTTCTCATCCAGTAGATTTGTTTCAGATTTTCTCAAAACTCCGTTAAAATTCTTGCAGCCTTGACAGATTTACGCAAGTACAGCATAGATAAAATTTTAATCGTTGGCATCCTTTTAAAGAGGAATATCGACGCATATGCCGCATAAAAATATTGAGGAGAAAATGCCGTTTCCACTGACAAAAATCCGGGTGGCAACGTTGAAGGCGTCCATCACAGGAAAATACAAACCCGTCCCTGCAGCCCTCAAAAAATATTTTCCAATGAATAACATATGTCAATTTTGAGTGATCATATCAGAAGAGAATTTATACAGGCCATATGAATTGCTGTAGCAATATTTGAGAGAAAAACGCTGCTCGTGCAAGAGAATAAACGGGATTTGCTTTCGGACTGAGTAATTTTCACCAACGGGTTCTCCTCGTTCGGAAATTATCTCGCTGTGGAATAACACTCAGCAGTTTTCCAGCTGAAAAAATGCTTCATTTTTCCGAATCTTTTGTTCAATTTTTGAAATCTGCAACAGTGTACAAAATCTTGAGACATTCTCTTGTTTGAAAGCCGAGTCGGTGCGGTTTATGCGTGAATAACGCAGGTATAGGTCACACCGGCTCTTTTTTTTTCGGAGGATTCTTTTCGCTGGAAAAAATTGCGGCTTATAGTCGACGGAATACGGGTATTGTCAAGCGAATGAGTTGGAATATGAGGCTTGGAAATTGAGGCTGGAGCAGTACTGAAGTGTGGAGCCCGGAGATCCTGGGTTGGCCGCAGTCTTGATTTTGACATTCCCCAGCGGAGCCGTAATTCATATCACAGTCGGCTTTCCGAGTGCCGTCAAAACGGAATATTTCATTGGAAGAGCCCGCGCTAATTCTGAACCCTCTAAAGTCAAGGAATCCCATTCAGACCCAAGAATAATTGCGGAGACGAGGACTTATCCGTTTTCATCCCGTTAGCAGGCTCGCTCTTTCCTTTTTTTTAGGTGTATTTTCTTTTACATATTCGTCTGCGGAAGAAATAGCGCATGTTCTTCTTACGGGACGAGCATTGAAATCAGAGAGAGGATGAGGGAAATTCGTAGACTGGAGGGAGGAGTTTTTCTTGGCTGTGTCGCGGGTTGTGTTTTGTGTCTGTCAGCGGAATTGGCAATTCCTGCGGTCGCGTCGTGGGACATGGCTGTCTGCACATGGCCCACCCTGGTTCCCTCGTAAATCCGTTCGACGGATGAGGAGTCTCTGGAACCGTCTGCTTCGAAAATTTTGCCCCTTTTTTCTTTGCTTTGAACATGTGCTGTATTTCCTTGCTCTTGTTTTTCTTTCTTTCCCCGCAAATTCCACGATGATCCGTTTTCTTCCCGAAAGTGAGAGATACGTTAGCCGAGGAAGGAAGATTTTTTTCAGGGGAAAGACTCGTCGATCGTTCAGGAAGTATAGGATGCACAAGATCATCTTTCGAAGAATGAATGAATAAATGAAGGAAAGGAAAGAAAAACTAGCAAATTTTCGAACATTTTTCTCACCTTTTCAACAAGTTTTTGTGTACCGAAGAATTTCTCGATTCAGAATTGAAGACATCTCAGTTCTTGAAACGGAAGACAAGACGAATGAAATGAAATTTAGTGAATAAACAGCATTTGATTTTGGCATGGAAATGATAATTTGGAGAAAAACGGATGCCTTAAGTTAGTATTGTGCGATTAAGGCTGTGAGTCTTTTCCTTTATCGATGAATTCTCAATGTTTGTACTTCAAAATTTTAGTATTGTATTTATTTTGCGGAATACTTCTGTTGGGGCCTTTTTATCGAGTTTAAAAGGCTAGTTTGATTCACAAAAACGAATTTGTCGAGACAATCTTCCGGTGCTTTAGCTGGATACTTGCAGTGAGTAATTAAATTGAAGAAGGAGTATTTTTTCATTTTACCGGATTTCTCTTCTTTTTGAGAAAAATTTAAAATAGCAGAAGTTCGTTTTATTTTACTTCTGCACATTTTTAGTCTTAAAATGAAGATTAAGGTTCGCAGTATTGATGCACAAATTAAATTCGACGAAGTCAGCGTCATTGCTTTCGTGCTCTTCATTGCATCGCATTTTTCACTGTCAAAGTCAACTGCTGCTGAACTGAACATAGTCTTTGTAATTCCTTGCGCATTTTCCCTAGGCTCAAAAAATAAAATACGGATAAGACTTTAAAATCGACTTTCGGGGGGAAATTTTTGGCTCGCCCTGACATGGCCCAGCGTGTTTGATTACGAAATGCTGTCAAAAGTGTGTTCAATATTGGCATGATGGACGCTGGGGATATCGTATATGCGGGGCCACGACTTTCCAGCCGGATGACGCGCGAAATTTGGAAGCTGAAGGCCGAAATCGCAATATGTTCAATATGTTTTCCCCCCGTCGTAATTTCAAGTCGTTCCTCTCTTCCGAGAGCGAGGCTGCGAAAGTCTTGGAAGTCATGTTGTAGCCTCTTGATGCATAATTTTCTCGAGAATCACCCTTGAAATTTACGCGATTTCGGGCCACGATTTTCATCCCAAAAATTGCTCCAAAAACTACGAGAGCGGCTCTTTATACGAAACATTTTAGGATGTAGTATATCGCATCAAGTAAGAGGTAGGACTTGGATTATAAATCATGTAGATGGAGAGAGATCAGGTCAGTGGGAAATTAGGCTGACACAAAACCTGACATCGGAAAAGCACCCATGGGATTTTTTCCCCGGGTGTTTTTGTTTTGCGTTTTGTTGGCTCATTGCAGTATCGCATGCCTTCATGTCCATCAATCCTATGTAATCTTCATAAAATTCAAATATTTATGATATTTCGCAGAGAAAACTCTGTTTCATGGGGATATCAGACGCATTTCTCTCCTAACAACTGTCCAAAGGTTGCCATATTATTTCGGCAGTACAGAGCACGGATTCCCAGCTCATTTTGAAGTGTGAACGCAAAAAGAGGACTTGAAAGGTATTGATTTCTGAGTTGTTGAAAAAAAAATATATGGGTATCTGGAAAGTTGAAGAAACCCCGACGAGGTCATCGAAATTCCGGGTGCAATATCGGAACTCCGGCGACGCGAAATGGGAGGGAACCGGACCGGAAAATATTCAGAGAATCTCGGCACGGGAGACATTAATGCTTTGCCTTGTTTCTTTCGCCCGGGGATGAAATGCCTCCAGGGTTTTCTGCTTCCAGGCAGGCCTTTTCATTTTTTTTTTCTTCTTCTTCTTCCTTTTCTGCACAAGTGCGTCTGGAAAGCGCGGAGGGATCAGTAGCAGGCGAGCAGCAGCTGGGCGGATGGCAAATCGCCAGGGACTCCGCTTTTCATTCGTTTCTTGGCAGGATCGCTGGGGAACTGAGGGAAGAAGAAGAAGGGAAGCACACACATTGGAGGAAAAAAAAAGATGAGGAGGGAAAAATAAAAGAGAGCAGGATAGAGCAGAAACTGCGTCCGTCGTCTGGAATACTGGGTGGGGATAAATAATACGAGATGTGTTGCTCTGCGAGGGCTCTTGAGGGAGCTCATAGCGGGAGAAAAGACCGTGATCTCAGCGAAATGAAAAGCTCTGCCATTTTATTCCATCCTTGAGCGGTGTTCTTCCTCTTCACTCGCCTATTTTTTTCTGTTCAATTTTATTTTTTTTTTATTTTATCAAGTTGTGCTTCCACGTTGCTCAAGGGGTCCATTCTTTTCAGCTGTGTGTCTGTCTGTCTCCTGGGTCCTCGTTTTCATGGTCTTCGCCCACCCCACCACCCCCTTTTTTGTTCTTTTGGAAAATGTCCTCAATCAAATACTGTTTATCCCTCTTTTCTCTCATTTTCTCCTGATGCTCCAACTGCGATGGTATTTTTGAAATCAACGTCTGATTAATCCGCGGTATCCGCATTTTTACGTGTTTATTCTAACTAGGTCTTCTCGTGATTATGCCTCTGATGAATTTTGGATCTTATATAACATAAGGGAAGCTATTATCAACCTCTATTTTGGATGCTAATTTAAATGAAGCACCTTTCTGCTTCTCTTGTTTCATTCTGTCATTTTGATAAAAATTAAGTTTTGTACTGGTATCCCAAATGAAATGTTAATGCGATCGTCACTCGTGATTTCAGATCTTTGCGTTGAGAGGGTTTTTCTTTAATGCTGGAATTTTCCACAAATTCTTTCCTATCATAGCTAAGAGCGTATGCTGCATTTTTAAATCTCAAGCTGAAATCTGACAAGAAGGAAAACATTGATCAGTTTAACTACAAAAATGTCTCAGATAGCTTAGTTCTTTCGGCTGCGAGATATTGGGATGCCTTCGACGTTGAGAAAAGCGCTGCTCGTT